TGTGTCTTCTCATATTTGTATCAGTGTTAATGCAAGGGAGTAAAAGTCAATATGGTGCTGAAAACTGGGTAAGAAAGGAGAACAGGCTCTCTTCGTATACAACAGTGGTGCAAATACTTGTATGTCACACTTGAATTTTTTTTTGTCTAGAGGACAATGTATTGTGGTAGAATATTGGTATTGTTATGAAAACATCATGTGTCCGCACAAGCTAATTGCAACAAGCTGTGACTCCACTTTTTTAATTGATTTGTAAAGTAGGATTAGAAATTAAAGCACTCCTAAGTATTTCCCTCTCTGTGGACGCAAGTGTGGTTCGTAGGTAAGGTATACTCTGAGCAGTAGTTGCGATGATCGGTATTACAGGGATGAGAGCTTCTCCTTCCTCTTTGGCGGTTGATGGTATGCATGAAGTTTTATTGGGACATCACTGAGATCATCCCCTGCTTGACAGCACTTCACAAGACAAGGACAGCTGATACTCTTTGTCCTGAGGAAGATGATGATTCTACTATATTATCACATTGGACTTATTTCACTTTATATTTTACTGACTTTTGTCCCTGAAAAAGCAAAAAAAAAAAAGTATTATAGAAAATGTAGTTGTACTGTAAGCTCTGCAAACTAAATGTCAAAGTCCTTCTATGTATTTGCAAAACAATCAATAAAATAAAGATTAAAAATCTCAGGTTTCATTTGTTGTTACCATTTTTTGTGGTGTTCTGTTCTGCCATCAGGACTAGTAAGAGATTAGCTTGTGTTCACATCAGCATGTCACACCTCAGCACACGCAAAAACCTCGAGATCTTGACTGAAGGTGGAGGGATTTGATAAACAGAAATAATGAAGCTTGAAACTCAACTAACAGCTGGTTCTCCATGTTCTCTCTTCTCACTAATGTCTCTGTTGGGTCAGTCTCAAACATAATTATCACATTCATTTTCATAATTACTTGTTTTTCAATCAAGTCAAATAACGGACTACATATGTAGTCCTTAGAGAAGTGATTTTTTACCTTTTGATTAAAACTGCTGTAGAAATTATAGCATTTGAGATGTTAATCATTGATGTTACTGTGTGGCTGCACTCAGAAAATAGTACTAGGTGACACCTGAAGACAAATTCCATTAACCACCTGGTGAACAATGAAGTAGATGATTGCAAAGTGATGAAAATGTTTGTCTGTGGATAGTGGGGTCATCCTTCCATACATGTCATAAGGTCATGAGTAAATATGTAATAGTATCATTTTTATCTTCAGTATCATTGGAAAGCAGATTGATAAATGTGAAGAAAAATGTTTAGGCTCGGAAAAAACCTTGATGATTCGCTCTGAAATGAAACTCTTCAGTAATTTATATGCGTGGTCAAAATCCAACAGTCAGTCACCCTTGTGAAGGGGGGTACAAGGTAAGTGCCAAAACCACTGAGGTAATACACCAGCCTTGCAGCTCTAAAATCCACTCATAGAAATGTAGAAGGTAAAGTTTTCCTCTGACAAGAGGAGAGAGTTGGTTATGGGCACATCTGAGCAGTTTTGTGGCATCTTGTGTATCTTCTGCTGTTGCCTATTTTACAATATCCCATCGTTTCTTTGATGCACTGCAGTATTCTGAGCCCCTCTTCTGCCCATGTGCTGCTGCTGCTATAGACCAGGGGTCTTAGCTCTGAATATACCTACTCCGCAGTATGTGTGGCAGTTTTCAGTGGAACAACTTCAGGGGACACCTTGAGCGGGGGGCGGGGAGAAATTCCTTTCCTGAATGTATTTACGTAACATCAGATTTTGAGGCTCCAGCAAAGGTAAATAACTATTGTATTTGTGTTGCAAGAACTTGCTGTGCCTGGTTCACATATTTATGTACATATTTAGAGGAAGTGAGATCATGGAAGAAATTCTTGCCTTCAAGGCCAATGGGTTCTCCACATCTGCCTCCCATGGTACTTAGATTTTATTTATTGTATTTTATTATTGTAATGGCTTGCAAAAGCAAGTAGAACATTACTTGTCTGTGGGAGCAGTAGAGTCTAAAACTAGAATTTCTATTTCTGTGCTCTTAAAGCTGTCCCCTGAGCATGCAATCCAGAGAAAAACTTAAATTTGTGTAACGCTGCGATAGGTGCTTAGACTGCAGCTGCTGCGATGCTTTCGGACATTGCCACTGCTGCTGTTGCACAGGGTGAGAAGTGCTGCCTTTGGTGCAGTGCAAACCATCACTTTTGTCTCAAACCTGTGCCTGTACGAGATTCACAAGCTGGTGTCCATCCACCTGCCTGCTGAAGGGTCTCACCAAGTATGTAGGTTTGTGCAGTTTTCAACATAGCAGTGGCACAGCCCCAGCTCCTTTAAAAAATGCCGATGATGCTTCTTTCCCTGTACTAACTCAGCAAGGAGAGTGTTTGTGGAGGTTCAGTTCCTAACTCCATCCAGGAAGATTCAAAGCACGTATTGCTTGTCCCAGGAAAGCACCTAACCCGCCACGCTCTGGGGTGAGCTGGGTAAGACTGCTGCTTCGGGGGAACTCGGCTTACTTTGCAGAAAGGATTGGAAGGGCTACGAGGCTGTGAATAGAGAAAGAAGCAGGAGAAGGTCGTCTAGTGTGTAAGTCATTCACCCGGCAGTCGCAAGGCCTGAATTATCTTTTGAAGAATAGCTTTTGTTTTATTAACGCAGGCTTTAAACTGTGTAAGCAACTCACTTCCCCTCCTTTCTGGCTCCCCTGCATGTAGGCACCTACTTGCATTCAGCCAGGTGTTTCAGGGCAAGCGCAGAACAAAACGTGGAGGCACCTACAGAACTGGCAGGTCAAGCAGTGCAGTGCTGTGGCACCTTAGTGGGGTACAGAGCGGGATTTTCACTTTTAAAATTAGATTGCCTAAATTAATCAAATTCTCTTGTAGGTGCCTATGTCAATTACTTTTATTTTTTGGATAAGTTCCTAAACATTCCCTTTGGTTCTGTCAGCTGGAAAGGACATAGTACATAGGTAGAAAAGGGAATTGAAAACTTTTGTAAATACAGGGAAAATGTGTTACAAGAAGCACAAAAACTGCAGCCAGGAGGAGAATTAGTTTGCATAAAATGAGCAAAAGCAACATGAAAAGCAAACTTAATATGTTACCCAAAAGAAATAAAGGCAAGCTACAGAACCAGTGTGCTTCACTGGTACCACCTGCAGAAAGTATATGTTAATTCTAGGACAAATTCAATCCCATCTGTTTAGGCGGTGAGTGAATAAAGACTATAAATTGGATCTGATGCCCATATCCTGCAAAATAGTACTTCCCCCACCCCTTTGGAAAATCTGGCTGTGTGAGCAATTAACACTTTCTCTCAGGTCTGTCCAAGAATAAAGCAAGCTGTGTGAGGCTACAGCAGGCAAAGCTGTCTTGTCCAATAAATATCCCTAAAAACACAAACTTTAAAGCTATAATCAGGCACTCTGGCTTGCTAGTCATTTCTGTCTAGTTCCATCTTTCATTTGCTCCAATAAAACACATCACCCATGCTTTCCTCCTTCTGGCAGCCTTCTAATCCTAAAGGAATAGCTTCCTTTGCCCAAGGAAGGCGGCTCAAATTTCATCAGTCTTCCTGCTTGCCTGGGCTCGTTCTCGGGTGAAGGAGAGAAGGTAGAATCGTGTGTCCATGTGTCTGCCAGCCGTGCCAGCGGGGGAAGGGAACCAAGACCAGAAGAGCGGAGCTGATGTGTGCTGGGCTCGGCTGGGTAGCTGCAGGGGCACCCTGCTTGCTCTGGCTGTTCTCAGCTGAAACGTGGCTGCGACAGACGGCGTGGGCAGTGATGGTGCTGGGGAATGGCGTCACAGAGCTACCGCTGAGCATCAGCATGTCTGGTTTGCCGGCCTGTTTCTAACGCACCGCTAGTCACGCACCTCCTGCCAGAAAAAAAAAGAAAAGATGCATGGTATGTTCTTCTCTCTGTTTTTCATTTCATTGCAACTTAGAGATCATGTGGATGCCTGTGTTTGAAAAACAAAACGTGTGAAGTGGACGCATCTTAGCGAAAAGCCAGGGCCTGGCTAGCCCAAGCCCTGGGCATACTCCTGGCTGCAATGCCTGCCGGGGGCAAGGAGGAAGACATCAGG